AACCCTATTATAGAGAATTCTCATTGTGGAACACCTATATGCTATCTTCCCACTGTATCTCCTCATTATTTATAATACTTCATGAAACAAATACTGGGCTGCCTTTAAGAGGCAGGTGAAAAATATAGCTACTTCTGAAAAAGGGCATTTGGCTTTCAGTTTATAGCAAGAGCTAAAGTTATAGCCTACAGTGATTTCAGGGGCTAATTCAATCAGAAATAAAACAATTCTGACATCAAAAACCCTCTTACTAAATTTAATAGCTAGAAACTATTTTAGCAATTATGGTCTGAAATTCAGTGCAACAAAAATATAGCCTAAGTATGCAATGTGTAATGGTATATTCTCTTAGCTTTTTACTGCTCTTAGTCCTTGCTCTTTTGTGAAGGACATGTCCCTCAAAAACCCTGTCTTTCAATTCTCCTGTTCTTTCCATATGAACCTCAGCAATGAATAATGGGGCACTAACTAAGATGCATAATTAATTCTGTCCTCATCTGAAATGCTGACAGTGCTGGCTCACTGTGCTATCACAAGTTATTCAAAAGGAGAAACCCATCCTCTAGTTTGCCAAGAATAAACAATAGCATATAAAATGCATTAGGAACATGTTCCTAGGCAGTATTCACAAATACAGAAGGGAAGAAGATGGTTTCCAGCACTAGATATTTCCAACAAATCACATGATTACTTAGATGATTCTGTGAATTTATGGCATCAAACACAACCTTATAAAAACACTCTGGTGTTTTCCTTACCACAGCAAAAGTTTTCCTGGTTAATTTTCTTCTAAAAGTAATAAAATAGAAACACTCTTCACATCTAAGGAGCTCCCATTTCAAGTAAATGTCTCTGTTTTGTTCGGTTCTCTCTCTTTTTTTTTTTGTCAATGGTATGCATTTAAAAACACAAGAGTGTTGGTGAAATCCTCACAAAACAATAATAATTGACTTTGCTACACAATACAGCCTTTGGAAGTATCTTCTACATAGTCACTTTGAACAGAAAGACAGTCAACTCTCAATTATTCAGGAAGTGATAACCTGGACAGTCTGGCGAGGGAATTCTCACTCTCCTTCCGCCAGCCTGTTTTGGTCATGCCACTGCTCGTTCACAGATTGAGAGGCAACTCAATGAAATGATGTATCTTATCAGTGTATAGGTCACCCATAGCTCAGTGGGAGGAAATCCATAGTTTCTGATGGCAAGGATGTTTGCAGAAATCACCCGTGAATTGTGTATCTCAATGGAGAGTTGACGATCATTCACATATAGGAAGTACAGTACACTGACCTTGGTCAGAATCAAACTAATTTAAGGCAAAACTGCTCCTCGAGACACTGCTGGCACAAAGTGCAAGCCTCATCAGAAAAGTGACTCTGTAAGAAGTAAAATTTTCCCAGTTTACCCCTTCCTTTTTGACTTCTCTGGAAGAAAATTGCAGCATTTCTCACAACAATGAAATGTCAGGAGCAACAACAGCCTTGACTCTTCCCTTTAATAATCCTAAGTATCATCAGAGATAAATGAGAGTCTCTGACCAGGAATCTGGATGACACTGTGCCCCATGCAGCATTATCAGAACAGTCTCCAGTTCGCTCCTCCCTGACCACATTCCCTGTTATAAGCTAAAGGAGAAAAACAGGATTCTATCAACAGTTAAGATAAGCAGTTATGGCTTTAAGACTCACAGGCACCACCAGATATGAGGAGAAAATGGGACCACTTTATCTAGTCGCTTCTCTGACTATGAGTAGTAAGTAAGGGACCAAGTACTTTAAAAATCTGTTTTTTCCTTTCGGCTGAAAGAACAGGTTTTGGTTATTTTATGACTGCTTCTAAAAAGCCTGCATTATGAGAATATGGCATACTACCTGCAGTGAAATCTACCTTAATGGTGTTCCCTTTCACACAAATACTGTTTTCCCAAAAGGGAAAAAAGCCTTTCAGTGCAAGTTATATTCTGTTCTCAGTCCCTCGGAAAGCTGATTACACCGGGGTCTCACTCCCTTTATTTAGAGGGAAGCTTTTACATCCAGTCACCAGTTACCTTTCAAGAAAACCATCACTGAATAAATGAGTAATTCTGATATTCCCCAAAGTGATTTTTATACAAAGGCAACACCCATTACAAAATCAAGGCCCTAAAATGTTAACCACTGATGTGGTAAACTGAATGCACCATATTATATAGCAGATGTTTCCAAAGAACAATTTGGCACAAGACAAAAATTAGAGAATATTTGACAGTATTGAAGAAAATAATTATCCATTAAAAGTTAATTACATTTATACTGAAAAGTCCTGACATCGATGGAATGTGTGGACAGAGTCAGTAATGACTTTATTCACCATCCAGTTCGGCTGCAGACCATAGCGGAGAAGAAAAGGGGAAAACGGGTCTGGTTCACAATTTTCTAGAATGAGTTCGGTGGAACACAAGGCCCGAGGTCACACACCTTGGAATATGTTGATCGAGATCCAAGTGGCCGCTGCAAATCTGAAAAGATTTTCCTCCTGGGAAACATCTATCCATATCTTTCTTTTCTAATTTAGATGTTTCTTCTCTATGATCAAAAACCTAAGTCTTTTTTGAAGTTCGTTAGTCTGTTGCTGGTTGTTGTAAAGTCACTCGAGAAAAAGTAATTCAAAGGTATGCAAAGTCACTTTCTAAAAATCTCAATGTTCTTTCAAAGCATATGTAGCAACTGTCCAGTCTCCTGCAAAATAATTATGTCTAACAATGGTTTCACACTACAAATTTTTTTCAACTCAGAACATTTAATCTGACCCTTGTCGGACCTTGCTTCCAAGCAATGAATTACAAAAAGTCAGGTTGGGGGAAGAGGGTGTACACATCCAGAAGCCTTATGATAAGGCTCAAAACATACTGTGCTCATTCAGCAATAGTAGTGTTAAATGGGGCCTCCAGAGAAAAGAAGTACAGAAAGATTGCCAAGGCCAGAGTATTAGTTTGCATCACAACATTAAAGCATAATACATTGTGGGCCTAAAAATTAAATTGTGTGTGGTCCAGTGGTAGAAAGAGGAACAAAACATTTCCACATTTATAGAAATATAACCAAGTGAAAAGCAGAGAACACAGTGAAGAATGTTTGGCAGTTCCTTTTAATACAGTTGTTAGTTACTTCTATAGTCTTAAAGATAATAATTATAATATTTGAATGAGAATAAGAGGATTTAACTAAGAAGAAGACAAGAATTACTCTGGATACTCTTTAAAAAGTGTTCACTTTACAAAAAAATAAAAATATTTTAAAATTCTAATTTTTTAAAAACCTTAAAAAAAAAAGTAACAAATTTTCAATACAGATGTTGAATTGGGTGTCATGGGGAACTATATCACCTCTGGCCGCTCACTAAGACAGCTGAAACACTAACATCCAAGGCTTAAATGTTAAGTGGCCTCACATTTTTTTGAATGAAAATATCTCCAGATAGCATTTTACAGTAATAAATATGATTGGATAAAGTACATGAGAAGCAAGACAAATGCAGAATTTTTAAAGTAAATCTGATCACTGCATGAGATAGAAAAATAAACATGTATGAAATAAAAATATGGCAAATGATGTTGCCCATTTGCCTATCAAAATAAAAATACATTGTGTTTTCTTTAAAGTTACCACAGAAAAACTTTTTAAAAACATGAAGCAAAATCACAGGGCAGACAAAGAAAAACATAGCATTACTAGAAGACAACAAGGCCTAAGTTTTGGATACTGAAAGCACCTTCTAGAATGTGACTAAGGCTAGGACCTCCATCTCATCAGCCCTTGCCTATTTAACTCTGCTTCATTCATTTCATCAGGGTCATTCAAAGTCCTGTTTGTTTTTCTCTTTCCCCATTTCTTGAAAATGACATCTTTTAGGGTTTCTTTCTTTCTAGATTATCATTTCCCTAAAACTTGACTCTTAGCTACCTTTTACCCAAGTTTCTGCAATCCAAAAACGTTATGAACTAAAGATCTTTCTCAAAATGAAAGGACCCAAATCCACTCCGAGAAACTATCCTAAATAGCTTCCTGAATATTGCCTGACTTGAAAGACTATCCGGAAAGATAAGGCAAACAACAGGCAGTTCCCAGTGGGAAAAAATGGATTAACCTTTTCCCCTGTCATCTGTGTATTTCTTTCCTAAACAAACACCACACTGGAATGTCAAAAAACATCAGATTTATACAATGAAAAATAATGGAAAGTCAAGCCGAAGAAAAATTTTTATATATGTGTAGCGTGACTGCCATTTATGTTAACTAACAAGTATGGGAAAATAAGCATTTCTACAAGGTTAAGGGCTGGACAAAGACTAGATTTCTCAAGGAGGGCTTTAAAGGTCCTGTACAAAGGAATCCAATGCCATGTATCACTAACGAATATGTAGAGCCAAATACCTGGGTAAAGAACCATTTTATCTACTTCAACTTCACGTTGAATTAATCTGATTACTGACAGATAGATAAAATATTTTTTGAGTGGCTGCCAACAAATACCACTGATTTTTAAGTAAGAGGAAAACTTATCCATCTATGCCCAGAGAGAATGCTGGCATTATCACTTATATAAACATCCTTCCGATTCCGCTTCCCTGGGCTCTATATGTAAATGTAAAAGAAGAGGAGGGGTGCAAAGTTTTTCACTTTTTCACTTTCAGTTGACTTTGCACAGACCTGAGTTAATAGTTCATAGAATTAAACTTTTGCCAATAAATACTAATAAATAGCCCAGTGCCCAGAGGACTCCGAAAGACTTGCTATTCAGCAGAAGTAGAGAAAGTGTCAGAGAATGACATCTGGGCCAATTCACCCAGGACAGCTTATAAGGATATGCAAAACTGCTACAGTCCTGCTGGTCAGAATAACATGTTCCAACTGTTCCAGGTTTTGTTTGTTTGTTTTAATACTTTATGGTTGTGATTTTTATTTTCCTGAATACAAAAAGCAAAAGATTCTTCAATATACCATACACTAATGCACGAAAAAAAGCTGTTTCTTATATTCTTTTATTCTGTATTGCATCCAAACATTGTTTTACTCTGATCATAATCTCCACAAAATTCTAACTGCTAAATAAAGCCTAGTCTCTAGATACTAGTACTCCATACCTAACAAAAATGACATTTTACAGAGCTTTTCGATACTATATCCCAGGAAGCATATGCAGCAGAGAGGTGGCCAATATTCAGAAGCTAGATTTTCTTGTACTGCCCAAGTGATCAGGAATAACCAAAAACGTTTTAAATGAATTAAAATTATTTATGGCCAGAAGAACACTTGAAGATAAATCCCAGGAATACAAACACAGGAGGGAAAAAAATGTGTGGAACGCATTCTTTATCATCCAGTAATGATTGCTACAGTGAGTCCGTTTCTCAAGGCAGATTCCTAGGGTTTTACTGCTTATGATGGAAACCTTGGAAAGGAGAAAATAAGAAACACCATTAAGGAAAAACCTCAGAAATGCTCTTTCTCCTTGCTCAGGCAAAATAACTTATCTTTATTTCTATGCATGTTTTCTTAGTTCTTGATTGCAAAATATTTACATAGTCACTGTGTTATTTTAGTATTATATATCAAATGTATGTCAAAGACAAAAAGGCCTCCCCTAAAAAGTAGTGCATTAATTTGAGGGAAAGAAAATCATGAGCTATATCCAGTTAAGCCAGCCATGATGGAAAGTCCACCAACTGATGGAAATTACAGTGTATGGGGTTGTTTTGGTAATGTCCAACTAATACCATCTTTTACTTAATGTCTTTTGTCGGATCAACACTGGATGAATGTCTGAATGGAGAGGGTTGGGGTGAGGAGAGCTATCTAAAATAACATAAATGCTTGGCAACCTCCCTCCCCTGGAAATTCTCATTTAGTCAGTCTGGAGTAGCACCTGTACATTGATATTTTGTAATGACCACTGGAAAAAAAAAAATTAAGTTTGGGAAGATTTGGAAAAGGATAATAAAAACATGACCTAAGAAATCTTCAAAAGCTGTAACAAACAACAGACATCAATTTACAGTACCTAATATTTGTAAAGTCTATTGCAATGTTCTTTCATGTATTTAATTTATATGATCCTGACAACACTGACACTATTAAAATCATTTCCACTTTTAGATGAAAAAATTAAGAATTACCACCTTTTCATTATTTCATTTTTTGCGTATCATAAAAATACACATAAGTGAATTAGTGTACGCTTGGAAGAACAGCTACATGCCACTGCTGAGGGAACAGCAGGCTGACTGAAGACAGAGCATAAGCTGGCAACCTACAATCTCCCCCACCCGCCCCTCCTGAGTGGGACCTGTGTGACAGTCTTCCAGGAATCTCCTAATCTTAATGTTAACGCCTTGCTAGAGGGGAAAAACAACATTAACTTGACAACGGCAAGGCCCTCCCGGTATCTTGTAGGCCCTCTTTAGCAGATGAAAGTTCTCTTGAAACCTCCCTTTTCCTTACCTCCCCCAACCCCATAGTATATAATCAGTCACCCCTCACAACCCCGATGCAGCAGCTCTTTCTGCCCAGGGTCCTGACACCGTGCTTTAATATACCACCATTTTGCACCAAAGATGTCTTCTTAGTCATCGGCTCCGGACTCCACCTCACTGAACCTCACCTATCTATTCCTTTCATTTTAAAGATTTGGTACATATAAAATAAAATAAAATAAAATAAAATAAAATAAAATAAAATAAAATAAAATAAAATAATAAAATAAAATAAAATAATAAAATAAAATAAATAAAATACAATAATAAAATAAAATAAAATAATAAAATAAAATAAAATGAAATACAATACAATACAATACAATACAATACAGATCTGGTCCAACTTAGACCTCATATTCTTTCCTCATCTCCTTTGCCCTGATTTTCTTTCGTGTGATAAAAGTTTTGTGTGAATTGTATACATATATGTGTACTTTATTTTTTATTTTTTAATTTCTTTTTTTAACTTTTATCTAAATTTCAGTTAGTTAACACAGTGTAATATTAGTTTCAGGTGTACAGTACAGTGACTCAACACTCCTCTACATAGCACCTGGAGCTCATCACAGTGCCCTCCTTAATCCCAATCACCTATTTCACCCTTGCCCCTCCTTTCTGATAACCATCACTTTGTTCTCTGTAGTTAAGAGTCTGTTTTCTTGGTTTGACTCTCTTTTTTTCTTTTCCCTTTGCTCCTTTGTTTTGTTTACAGTCACCCTTTAACAATCTGATGAAAGCTACAAATTCTCCCTGGAGGAAAGTGCACATACATATACAATCTTGCATTCAGGTTAAGGTGTTTTGTTTTCTGTTTTATCTTTTTTTTTAACAAATGAAGAAAACTGTAATAATAATCTTCCAAAAGGAAGGATAACTTACTTTGCCACTCTAGCAATCTATAAGACATCATCTGATATTTCCATCATAGCATGAGGATTATTAAAAAAAAAACCTAGGCTTGATCATATATATTTTTCTTACCTTTATGAGAGGATTCTGATTTTGAGAAATGACGTGTGGAATTATGCTGGTTTGTAAAATGAGTGTAATCCAAATCTTCAGCCTCTGTCATGGTAGGTGGTGGTGGCCTGAAGGGAAGTCAGAATTTAAAGAGATATTCTAATAAGTGGTGACCACAACTCCACCTCTCATTGGAATACATGGTAAAACACTTTGGTAGAAATGCAAAGCCACAGTGTAGTAGAATTCTCACCTTAGTTCCTCGCCTACTGCATAACCTTGAATAAATTATTTTATCTTACTGTTCCTTTGCTTTGATGCACATAATTCAATAAAAACAAGTATTTTCTGAGCACCTAATATGTGTGAGGCACTGTGCTAAGGACTAGAGAAACAAACATTAATGAAATGTGTGACCACTGCCATTGATGAGAAATTGACTTTGTTTTGGTAGTTTTTATGAAGAAAAAAGGCAAGGATAGAAGGGAAGTAATAAAGAAAGTTAAGAAAGGAAGAAAAAAAAATGGAGGGAGGGTGAGGGTGGCAGGTAAGGCGGGAGGACAGGAAAAAAGGAAAGGGGCGGGAGAGGGCATGGGCCAGCGTATAAAATCTAGAGCAAAGTCCCTCAGTCCACTAGGTGGCAAAGCAGAGCTGAGAGAAGGAAAGGACAGTCCGACATTGGCAACTTTTCACGTCAAAAGAAGACAAAATGTAAAAAACACTGGGGCATTTTCGCTACTCCAAAATTTTAATTATTTTAAAATCATGTTACATATATTTTCTTGCAAACATTTGGCATTGATGAAGATAAGAACAAAACCCTTTTTTTGGTTGTTGTTTCTCAGAGGTATACTTAAATGTTGCATTAAAGCACAGAACAAGATGAGGTAACAGAATACATCAAATATATAACCACACTGTAGGATGTTTTTTGTAACCATATATGCAATGTGGAAGGCGTAAGTATACTAGAGTTCAGAAAGTTATGCTGAGTTTGGTACAAAGGGCTCTGTCATATAAGAATAAAGACAAGTGATTTTAAATTTCCCACTCTGTCCCTAAGCACCAGGTCTCTTGCTGCCACAGGTCAGCACAGGATGTAAACTTGTGTATATATTGAGGACTGTGCTATGGGTTCTACTCAGATGATCTCAATTAACTTTCAGTACAAGTCTGCAGGGCAGCTATCATCACACACATATTTTAGAGGCAGATTAGGTTAGATGAGGTAAGTGATCTGTCCAAGCTCACACAGTTGTTAGGTGGCAGGGGTGGGGCTCAAACTCAACTGCAGTTCAAAGTCAGGGTGCTCTTTACTACACTCTGCTGTGCTACACAGGTGTGTACTTTTATCAGCAGCAGTATCTGCATTCAAGACTACCCCCCCCACACACACACACGTATGTATCTTATACTTCCAAATGGTATTTGGCTTATTTTTTTATATTTTCATCCTTTTGTTATACATATATAATATATAATTAATGTGAGCATAACAAATGATATGGTATTTTTGGTTTTTCTTTCTGTAACTGATAAAGACAAATGTTCCCTTCAAGTCAAAAAAGACTTCAGTTCTACCAGTCATAGGTCACTTTCACTCATTTGTAATAGCTATTTTTAATATAGGCTCATTTGATTATTCACTCTTCAATATGCCAAATATTTTTAAAGTTAACTATTACATTTCAGAAACTTGTTTTCAACTTTAATACATCTTTTTAGATAGACATTCCAGATTGGTCTATCATATCTGATGTCAAAATTATTAGTGTTCTAAAGAGCCCCAAAATTTGGAAGACTGCAGAAAAATCCAAAAGATTATTTTAATTCAGTTGACTAAAGGAAACATAATGAGCCATGCCTGTTTACCTACTGAGAAGAGATTAATTACTTCTTATTTTACTTGGATATTGCAGGGATGAAAATAAAGTTGGCCTTAAAAAAAACCTTTGGCATGCACTTAACTAAAAGATACAAGAAGAACCAACTTTAAACAATTGACAGAATATACTACTGTTGCCCTAAGAGCCTTACAAACCTGATGCAGTTTTCTGAAGGATATTATCTTCTAAAAGCCCATGGGTTTAAAAACAGAATACAGCTTTTTTTTTTTTTTAAAGTAGGTGGGCGTGGAGGAGCCAATGTGGGGCTTGAACTCATGACCCTGAGATCAAGACCTGAGTTGAGATCAACAGTCAGATGTTTAACTGACTGAGCCACCCAGGCATCCCAAAAGAATTTGGCCTTTTAAGAACACTAAATATATTCACTTTAAGTCAGTAAGTCTAGCAGCTTAAGTGTGGGCAATGAGTGGCAACAGTGTATATTTTTCAATGTGATAAAAGTTAATACATAAATTAATAATTAGGACCAATATTCAAAGTTTTAAGAGTTTTCAAATGTTAAATTTAGTGTTACTTTTGTCTTTTTGTATATAATACTGTTTCTATTCCAATCAAGTTTTGTTTTGAAAAGCAACAGAAAGCAATAAAGGACAAAAAGAAAGAAAAAAAAAGGATTGCTTCCCCAGAGACTTAAATATTGCCAACTTCAGGTATGAGGTAGAGAGACAGCAAGTGCTCCATGAACTATGACCCAAGACTCTTTGAGAGAAGTCTGAAAGTACATACACCATAACCACAGCTATCTGATCTAGTGGGATTTAGAATAGTCCACCATGTCTCAAATAAGTGTTTTCCAAGACTTTGAGACTCATGCAGAAACGAATTTAAGCATGTGTAAATGTCATGCACACACCAGTGTGACCATGAAACTCTAGCCCTGAGTAAGTAAAACTTTAAACTTTAAAACCTGAGATTTTACTGGGAAAATGGTTAAGCTCATCCCTTCTTAGCTGAGGACAGTGAATCCAAAGACAAGAATTGGTCCTAACAAAAAACACAGCATTCTTTATACGCCCTAGTTTCTATAAAATTACAATCTTCCTGATTTGACCTGTTCGATCCAGGTTAAGAATGGAAACAAAGTTTGAGAATAATCCTGCAAGACTTGATACCACTTCACAACTGCCGATTTCTGGATCTCCTCTCTAAAGAACACTCTTCTCAGACAATCCACATCTCCTTACTCACCCCAAAGTCAAGTTCCTCACTCCCCTTTTCAGGTGGCATCTTACCGTGCTGGCCTGTCATTCTTAGAACGGTGAGGGTCATCACTCTCTTTTGACTTTGAGTGTGCCGATTTAGTTGTTTTTGGCTAAGGACAGAAAAAGAAAAAAAAAAAAAGAGAGAGAAAGAAAAACACACATATAGAAAACGGCAAATAAAGAGAAAGATTGTTAGGTTCAGAAAATATCTAAATCATGTCAAACTCTAATAATTTCAACTTACTTACATTCAGTTGAACAACCTAAGATATTTTTACATATGGTCACTCAGAGATAAAAAAAAAAAATTATAGTCACATACATATGCTGGAAGCAGTCAGGGCAGCCAGATGAGTGGGCTAACTACACATGAACATGCTCCCCAACAGCAGTGTGCCCAGCTACTCATTATTAACATAATAGCTGCACAGCAGCTGACAAGAAGTTCCCGAGTCTACGGAATGTAGGTCCGTGCTCTTAAATTTATTTCTGAACATCTGACTTGGGGATGGCGATTTTCAAGCCAGGAAACTAAGGAACATTCAATCCAACCTTTCTAAGAGAAGAACTATACCAGCACCAATTACAGAATCTAGAAATTAAAGAAGTCTTGATACTTGCTAGAAATGTGGCTTTCCCCTTTTACTTGCCTGATTTGCGATTCTTAAAACTACTTACATCTTCATGGTTGAGCTAACAAAGAATTGAGTAACTCCCAGGCAATTATTTGTAGTTTTAACTTATATAGCAGAAGCATTTGAAATTCATTTAAGAAAAATCCTGAATTACTAAGAGGGTAAAAGAAGGAGAGACCTATACATAATTAATAATGCTTTCATTTGTTTTCAGACTGACAACTGAATAATTGAGCAGCAGGAAACAGTAGAGCAATGCTATTATCATGGTTTCTAAGTCCTCTTTTTCCTCCTAATCAGTGCTGAAACTGAGACAGAACCAGAGACCCAAGGGAGGAATTTGTTCGAGAGAGAGAGAACAGTGCTAAACATCACTATGTCATGAGTGCACAGCCTAGCTGCATCCTCCCAGGCCTAGTACAAACTCCCTCTCTGAAAAACCTGTACCTTAGGAATTCCTCCTCCCTGCAACTCTGTTCTTCTACTCTGTTTTCTTCAGCCAGCTTGACCTTGTATTTGTTAGCTGTCTACATTGTCCTGTTTGTCCTCCTACATTATACGGTATTATGAGGAAAATATATCTTTGACCTTCCCTGTTAAGTCCAGAGTGGTACACTGCACACAGTAACTAAAGAGTAAAGTCTGTGAAACTGGACTTGCAACCACCACATACAACAATTACATTACTTTACAGCAGAATAAACTGCAGTCACTATTTTGTCTAGTGTTTCTGACTAATGAGGGGAAGATGACAGTCCAAGCTCTTGCTACACAATTCCTACTTTCTGACATAAGCAATGGTTGCTGGTGGTATCTGCCAGTCTGCCATGGATCAAGTTATGTCAGATGAAAAGAGAAATAATGGCTACATGATCATGGATGGACAATATAAGCATGCAGAGAAAGTAGAAAGAGAAAGAAAAGGCCACTGGGGAAAAAGGAAAGCATGTGAAAATACTATATTCTCCTGTAAGGTAAATATTAGTAAAACTAAGATTGCTCATGACCAGAGGCACCTGCACCTCAACTGATCTTAAAATCAATGGAATGAGTTTTCAATCTTAGCAGTTATCTTTTCAGAGTTACTCTGAAGAATTAAGATTTTTTGTAATGAAGTCACTTTTACAAATTAGATTCATACATGCAATTCAGAGAATTTGTATACCCTAAATACAGTTGCAGAACTTATCCTAAAAGCAAAGTCCCCATCATAAAAATCAGAAAAACAATAAACAGAACTTACCTTCCAATCAGGGTCGTGCTTCCTTTTGTCCAAAGATGATTTCTCCCGCTCCTTGGCCTTCTTGTAAGCTTTCTTTTCTTCAGCCATGAGAAGTCTAGCGATTTCCTAAACAAAATCCAGTCAATACCATTGACTACAGAGTTGTGGGCCAAAACTACTGGGATATTTCTAAAGAGCACTGGCCAAACAGACTTATGAACTAATATGAACTCACCTCATCCTGCGCTACTTGAGCTGCTCTCGTGTCCACCTCGGTAGCCTAGGGTATAGAAAATACATGAAAGAGTAATTTAATTAGAATCTGTGCTGTCCATTTGTGCTGTCCATTTTAAAAAATCTTCCATAAAGGGGCGCCTGGGTGGCTCAGTCATTAAGCATCTGCCTTTGGCTCAGGTCATGATCCCAGGGTCCTGGGATCGAGCCCCACATCGGGCTCCCTGCTCTGCGGGAAGCCTGCTTCTCCCTCTCCCTCTCCCCCTGCTTGTGTTCTCTCTCACTGTGTCTCTGTAAATAAGTAAAATCTTAAAAAAAAAAAAGAAAAAAGCTTCCAAAAAATAAACCGGTATTTCAAACCAGTTGTAGTTAACATCCCTGAAGTTTAGTTGGTATACTTTCACCAGCCAGAGCAGGGGCTATTTTTATCAAATTCCAAAGCAGATTACTAAAGGATTATCTGAACTCAGTAACAGAGAGATAGGGATATGGAATTCTGTTGCTAATGCTTACTCAGTAAGTAAAACTGGACAGTCTATTCCCGTTGTGTGGATTTTTCCACCCATAAAAAAATATATCAGCTTCTCAACTCAACATAAAGGTACATTATGCCTATTACATAATCTCAAGAATGATTCAATTCAAGAAAACCTAGTGATTATCACCTAAACTTTTGCATGAAAATTTGCTCACCAAAATTTCCTCCTCTTGCAGTTTTCTGGCAATTTCAGCATCATACCATTCCTGATCTCTGTGGGCCACTCGTGATGGAGTAGAGACAGCTTCTTTCATCCCTCTTGGCTTCATTCCTAGAAAAACTCAATGTAATAAGGCAACTGCACTTGTTTTCTGAAAAGGCGCAAAACTTAAAGAAGTTCTTCTTTAGTATCTACCACTGACAATACTGTGACCACCACAGAATTCAGTGTAGGGTGCGCCTGAAACAGTTTTTCCCCTAGGCTTAGAAGTGGCAAGGCAGATTATCCACACATTGAAACAAAGTTACCCACACAAAACTGCCAGGCAAAAAACTCCCCTTTCACATAGTTTCTTCAACAGCAGAAAATCATGCAATGAACTCTAAGTGAGGATTTTGCAAAATAGCAAGTGAAAAAAAGGTGAAGCCATTGAAATAAAAAAAAAAAAAAGAGAGTAAAGAAAGTTACAGAGTTGGGAGTTTTAAAGAGTCAAACTGTCAAGACTGGAGGAAATGAGGGTCTTCCCTCTATTTAACTCCGCCTTGCATCCTTTACTTCAGAGGGAACAGAAAGAGTGTCACCTGGGAGGTATGTGACAGCACCTGTGAGCCGACCAGTGGCTCTACCACAGCTTCCGCTGATGGTCAACAAACCCACTTGCTTTAGATCTTTCCCATAGCTTTGATTAGTTCAAAGCTAAATTTTAGGCAAGATATAACATAAGGGAAATACCAGAGAACATAATGAATGACCACCTTAGATTTCTATTCCTCTGAGGGAAAAGGTACATGGGGAACTGATGGGAAATTTTGGCATTTTACTTTGAAATGTTATAAGCAACATGTATTCCCCTTTTATAACTTTTAATCAAGTGGTAACTGCTAATGTTTATTTCAAAATTGCAGATATATCCCTCTTGGTATCCTGTATAAATTACAATTATTCAACAATGTGAATGTATTGTATTCAGAAGTAATACAAATTTCTAATGCCACGAACAAGATTAACCATCTGGAAGAGTGACTTCCAGTAAATGAACTACTGAAGGGAGAAAGAAAATTTACTCCTAATTGCCTACTTCTTTGTACCAGTGGTTGTCAACCCTAGCTATATATTAAAATCACTTGGGGTACTTTAAATAAACATAAAAATCTTTGACTCAAACCTCAAGGATTCTAATTTAAGTAGCCTGGATGAGATCTGGCTGTCGGTACTTTGGTTGATTGTTTTAAATCCTAATAGTTGATGCTTGCTTGAAATTGGCATTGAAACTACTAGTTTACTGTATTATAGCCATCAGAATAACCATACATTAAAACAATTTTTATCAAAATGCCTCACTACACTTGACAACAGGGAAGAAAAAAAATACAACTAAATTCTGGGCACATGAAGAAATTTAAATTATCTGAAGTCTCTCTTTATAGAGCTTTATACCTAGCTTTGTGGTAAATCCAAAAGCCAGGGACTCATCTGTCTTCCCCCCAAATACAGACAATTAAACCTGGCTTTCTTAGCTTCAGGCCTATTAACACCTGTTTATTCAGAATACAGAATCCTCTTCAACTTCCCATCATCTCTAGAGCTACTGAATCTTATATTGCTGGGCTGGGCTGGCTTTAACCCAGATTTCTGAGTGGTTTGGGACGGTCAGGAAAAAGAGAGATATTCCCAAGAATGGACCATATTTAAATGAAATATAAACCTCCCTGAGTTATCATAGTTCAGTCATAACTAGAAAACATTATTTCAGGGAAAATAAATGAAATTAGACAGGGAACTGGAAATTGGACAAAGTCGGTGGAAAAGAGGCTGTGGTACTCTCCCATCTATAGGAAACTGATACTTCTTTAAACAGCTCAAAGCTTCACTGAGTCTCACAGGAAAGATCACACTTAGGCCTTGCTCCTTCCATTTTGCCACAGTGAAAGAAACAAGAGCGGGATGTGCTCAGATTTCAACACACTAAACCTTCTCCACTCTTACTCTACATCACAGAATTCACTGAGAAAGTATTTTGTTTTAGTATCGTTCAAAGACACTTAGAAGACATTCAGACTTAATTGGTTTGACAAGGTGATAAGACTGTCACTTCCAGGCAGTTTAAAAGAAAATTATACATAGGTCAATGGAACAGAATAGAGAGCCCAGAAATAAATCCATGCATATATGTTCAATTAATCTATGACAAAGAAGCCAAGAATATACAATGGAGAAAAGACAGTCTCTTCAATAAATGGTGCTGGGAAAACTGGACAGCTACATGCAAAAGAATGAAACTGGACTTATACTCTATAAAAAAAATTAACTCAAGTGGATTACAGACCTGAACATAAGAGCTGAAACCATAAAACTTAGAAGAAAACATAAGCTCTTAGAAATGATTTTTTTGGATTTGACACCAAAGTAAAGGCAACAAGAGGAAAACTAAACAACTGGGAATACATCAAACTAAAACACTTCTACACAGCAAAGGAAACCATTAACAAAAGGAAAATACAACCTGTGGAATGGGAGAAAATATTTACAAATTTGATAAGAGGTTAATATCCAAAATATATAAAGAACTCATACAACTCAATAGCAAAAAACAACTTGATTTAAAAATGGGCAGACGTTCTGAATAAATATTTTTCCAAAGAAGACATACAGATGGCCAACAGGTACATGAAAAGGTGCTCCACATCATTAATCATCAGGGAAATGCAAATCAAAACCACAATGAAGTATCGCTTTGCATCTGTTAGAATGACTATTATCAAAAAGACAAGAAATAATGAGTGTTGGGGAGGATGTGGAGAAAAGGGAACCCTTGTGCACTGTTGGTGGGAATGTAAACTGGAACAGCCACTGTGGAAAACAGTATGGAGGTTCCTCAGAAAATTAAAAATAGGACTACCATGTGATCCGGCAATTCCACTTCTGGGTATTTTTCTGAAAGAAACAAAAACACTAACTCAAAAAGATATATGTGCCCCCATGTTCACTGCAGCATTATTTACAAAAGCTAAGACATGGGAACAACCTAAGAGTCCGTCAACATATGAATGGATAAAGAAGATGTTACACACACAATGGAATATTACTCAGTTATAAAAAAAGGACATCTTGTCATTTGCAACAACATGGAGGGACCCTGATGGCATTATGCTAAGTGAACTAAGTCAGCTAGAAAGAAACAAATACCTTATTACCTCACTTATATAGAGAACCATAAAAAAAGAAAATAAAAAAAGAAAAGCACTCATAGATACATAGAACAGACTGACAGTTGCCAGAGGCAGAGGGTAGGGAGTGGGCAAAATGGGTGAAGGGGGTCAAAAGGTATAAACTTCCAGTTATAAAATAAATAAGCATGGTAACTATAGTTAGTAATACCTTACTGCATATTTGAAAGTTGTTAGGAGAGTACATCTTAAAAGTTCTCATCACAAGAAAAAAATTTGTACCTGTATATGGTGATGAATGTTAACTAGACTTACTGTGAACATTTTGCAACATACACAAATGTTGAATCCTTGCGCTGTACACCTGAAACTAATATGTTAACTATACCTCAATATAAATGAATGAATGCATGAATGAACGAATGAATAGCAATGAGTATTTGAGGTAATACTCTAAGTCCCAAATATCTAGTGGGGAAACAGTTTATCTGAACTACTGATACATCACTGGAATTTACATGTCTCACAAGCAGAAAATCTCAGTATTAGATGTCTGGCAGGACTGCTCACTAAATGCAGTATGCTCTGTACCAGAGGTAAAAAGAGCTTGTGTAAGTATGTAAGAAGAACTTCAGATACTACATTGGAAGGCTGTACATTTCATTATAGAAAACAGAGATGCTTTAAAAATTTTTAAAGTACAGTTAATTGAAGGAAATTAATAGAATCGCTGCTTTTATCTCAATAGCCTAAACAATCCAAAAACTAGCTTTCAGAAGATCAGGTGAGGGCCACCTGGGTTGCTCAGTCGGTTTAAGCAGCTGCCCTCAGCTCAGGTCATGATCCCAGGAATCGAGCCCCAAGTCAGGCTCCCTGCTCAGTGGCGAGTCAGCTTCTCCCTCTGTCCCCCACCCTGCTCTCTTGCTCTCTCTCTTTCAAATAAATAAATAAAATCTTAAAAAAAAAAAAAGATCAGGGGAGCCATACTTAATGGCTGCACATTCGATTCTTTTATTTTTTCTTTTAGAGAGAGGGAGAGAAGGGGGGAGAGAGAATCCTAAGCAGGCCCCACACTCAGCACAGAGCCCGGCCGGGGACTCGATTTCATGACCCTAAGACCATGACTGGGGCCAAAATTAAGAGTTGGGACACTTAACCGACTGAGCCAACCAGGCGCCCCTGCACATTCAATTCTTAATCTAATCCTTGCTTGTCTTCTTTTGTTCATCATTCTCCAGTTTAGGGACACTAGAACCTCCCCCAACAAACACAAATAAAGCTTACCTTTAAATTCTCACAGTATAAGCTAAAATTATTAGAAGTACTAATATTGAAGACACATCTATCCCAAACTTAGGATAAGGTAAAATGAGGACTGAGAGATTCTTGGATATCATACAAAAGTATTTTTTAATAAGCCAGTCTGAAGCTTGGGGAATATCACAGCAGAAGGGTACAAATGTTTTATGGCCCTGAGAGGCTAGAAGTTAACTTGCAGGAAGTAATAAGCTGTTATGATTTATAGCTCATTAGGAAAGTTACCCTCAAGGAGACAGGGTTTTACTGACCTTTAGAAAGTTAACTAATCTTATATTTAATTTGGCAATTGTATTTTGCATTCCTTTTTCAACTGAGTATGCAAATTGTTAGAACTAGCTCTTTGTCATCCTGCTAGTTTGTTCATTACTAACTTAAATAAAACCTTGGCCTATGCTAACAACTTTAAGTTAAACTGTGCTTTTACAAAAACAAGAATAAACACCAGTATTTAATAATTGCATTTTAAGATTGCCAGTAATCCTCTATTCTAGGGGGTCACAAAATCCAATGCCTCAGGTCCCTAGGAAGGTAAAATTTGTAAAGTTGAATACAGAATGACAGATTAGCAGCTACATTTTAGCCATTTTAGTACAGGCCTAACCACAGTGTTTTCTAAACTACTTGTGGGGGGTGCAGGGAAGAGGGAGTTTACCCACAATTCCAATAGGAGGGTTATGAGTCAGTGTTTCATATTAGTTTTACCCTTCCTAAGCCTGTTTAAGAAAGCCTCAAGTATAACTGGAAGCCATAAAGATTAACCGGCCCTCAGAGCACACTTAAAAAGTCAGAATCACAGAATCAGAAATGTAGTGGTAGGAGCAATCCTCCCCCATGTTAGGACTCCAACATGTCTTTCAGCATTTGGATACAGATAGTATAACTTACTACAGATAGTTATCACTGCCTCCTCTACTCCCACGTAGCTCTTTGTTCAAAGTATATCTAATTTGCAATTGTTTGTTTACATTCATTCTACTTTCTGGTTTGACTTATACCTCTGAGGCTCAGATCCAAGCATATATCCCCGAACATAAAGCCTGAGGCAGGAATATTTTCAGCAGATACTCAGTATGGTTGCTGAACTCAAGTTTCATTTTCTTTATGACCAAGTCTTTTAATAACTTAAATGACTAACATCATAGGAAGAGATAACATGATAGAAGAAACCAACTGAAATCAACCTGAATCTGCAACACAGAAGCCAGTTCCAGACCCAGAAGTAGAGGTTGGCTGGGCAGTGATAAGGAAGAAAATAAGAACAGATGCCTCCATGGTACTCCCCAGTAACCCTTCTCTCTCTGTCAAACTTCAGGAAGAGTAAAATAGAACCAGGGAGAGGAGTATGGTCTAATTACGACTTATAGTGAGTGGTAGAGCCACAAGGAAAACATCACCACGGCAGTTTCCAGGTAAGAACAGAGAGAACCATTACTGTCTCAATGAAGGATGTCAGAGTTAAGCCTCAAAGATGCCAGAAATTTGAGGCTCAAGTCTAACATTCACCTCCTTCCAAACAAATGCCAAGAACACACCCGATGCTGACATTTCAGAACACCAACTGCAGCCTTAGAGTCGAAGATGGTTACAGCTTAGAAAGGAACTTAAGGCAACAGTCTTCCAACTTTAAGTACGAGTCTAAAACAAGTCCAAATCACCAGGAGAAACTACAGAAATGATCATATGAGATCCAGAAAGCTGCCTCTTTAGGAAACAGCCCAGCTGATTCTGACAAAAATAGCCTAAGGCCCACAGTTAGAAATATGCTGTTATAAGAGACTGCCTATTCAAACTCTCACTTTACAAATGGGAAAGATGAGACCAAGAAAAGCTAGTATTTCCAGTCTTGTTGGTTTTCTAGTTAGGCAAATATTATGAAGACAGTGTCAACACATCTGACTTACAACCAGAAATTCAGGAGCTTTGATTTGGTATCTGATTCTCTGGTATACAGTCTTGGCACATGAAGAACTGTATCTGGGATGGGCACCTCCACTGCAATCTGGGGCTAAAAGACCTTTGTAAGGAATTGGTGTATCTTCTTAGAAGGCAGTAGGAAAAAGGTACAAATATTTTTCCTCTTAGTATAAACTTGATATTAAGTAGATACCTTTTATAATATTTAGCTCCAGGATTTATTTTAAATCCATGAGTACAAACTAGAGAGAAAGAATAGGTTGCTTAAGATGCTTATTAAATACATTCGCTTGTATGCATATACATGATACCAGGACTTTCAAGGTGACTGTTCTTCATTACCTGTGTCATGGAGCTGGAGCTGTTCCTCACTCTCTGAGAAGGGAGGAGTCCTGGGCCTGTGTCTCCTTTCTCTGTGCTCACCTTGCCCATGGTCCCTCCCATATACAGCTTCCTTGCAATGAAGCCCTGCTTTCTGTGAAGACTTGGGTGAAAGTCGGTCTTGGTGTCTGGACTGTTTTTCCCAATTCCGAGTTCGATGGATACTGTTAGCCTCCCCATCATCAAATCCAGTACTCAGAAACACCTCACCACTGATCTTGGGAAGCGGAGGTCTCCGAAGTCTCTCATGATCAGACCGTTTCCTTTCACGCTGCTCAGTGTCAATTTGGGAATTGGCCCTCACTCTGCCCAAGCTATAGGATGAGAGAAATCTCCCTGATGAACAATGATCTTCTAGTTCTTCCAAGTTCTCCACTGGATGTTTGGGTTTCTTGATCCTTCCTTGATCCTTCACAGTGTTTCCATCACTTTGGAGTCTACATGACCTTGAGACTCCAGAACCCAATTCCCTTGCCCTCCTTGACTGTGGCTGGTCTGAGTGGAAGTGCAGGGATGTGAAAAATAGAAATGCAGGTTAACTTAATGAGAGTATGAACTCACTATACAGGAAAGACGGGGCTCAAGTTTAATGTATTTTAAAATGGAGAAGACTACTTTTTCAACGTAACAAACTGAAAAGAGGGGACAGGCATTTATTGGAATGGTCCATGGATACATGAAGGATTCTGGGTACCCAGTCAGAAACGTAAAAGACTAAAATAAAATTATGTGAAATAAATCTGAAAGAAGAGTTTGATTATGATTAGGGAGTTAATAAAGTACTTTTAATATTTGCCAATAACAAAAACCACAGCCATTAAATGTTAAATTCTACTTATAACACCAATTTGGAACTACTATGGGGAGAAAATAGGGGTTGAGGGAGTCTTAAAAACAGAGAACAACTAAGCCTGGTGATAACTAAGCTTTCCAGGAAGAGGCTTTCAAATATTCTTACTGGAAATAACAATAAATCTCTAGCAGAATGTTGCTAATTTCCATTTAGTTTGGAGAAATGACCCAGATTTTAGTATTTCCCTACTCTCTCCCGCCATGCAGTTCAATGTGGAAAAGGACGGAATAGAGAATTTTGAGTAAATGACCCTGTTATCTTTAGATAACTCTGCTCCCAAACTTTCTTAACTTTGGCAGAGGAAAAAATTAAAAAGGGATGCCATAACAGAATACAGGAAAAGGAGTCACTTCCACCCCTACATTCATTTCAAAAAATGATACTGTATTCTTTGTACAAAAATAGTGTGTGCTAACTATACAAGTCCCTAAATGTAACACAAAAGAGCACATAGAGGGGTGCTTTTGTTAGGTCTCATTGAGGCAGGAGCATACTATGAAAACAAAGGAAGGACATTACTATGCACTTTGCAAGGCATATTTATTTTAACATTTTCTAGGTACATTCTGTAATAAAAAGACATCCTAATTCCACAGAAAACCGCTAAATTAGCTAAGATACATTCCCTGTTGAAATTACCCACTTGCTGAACTGCATTTGAAACAGCGACCCCAGTTTGATGGGATACAGAGGAAATAATGAACTATACATTTTCTTAATTTTTAGGGGTTTTGTTTCATTTTTTTTAAGTAAGTTCGTTATTGCTAATCGAATAAAGGAATGGAGGAAGAGGAAATACGTGCTAAATGTATCATTGATGCCATAAGGGTTCTCAAAAACTTCAAATCGTTTCCTCTCGAGCTTTCCAGAAGAAAAGGAAATTTGCTTCAACGATGACATCTAAACTGAAATCTGTCTTCTAGGGGCGCCTGGCTGGCTCAGATGGTTAAGCGTCTGCCTTCAGCTCAGGTCATGATCCCAGGGTCCTGGGATCGAGCCCCACATCGGGCTCCTGGCTCAGCGAGGAGCCTGCTTCTCCCTCTCCCTCTGCCTCTCTCCCTGCTCATGCTTTCTCTCTCTGTATCTCTGTGTCTCAAATGAATAAAATCTTTAAAAAACAAATAAATAAAATAAAATCTGTCTTCTAAAAAGTTTACAAAATTATCTGCAGAATTTATTACATTTATTTTTTACATAAAAGTGAACCAGAACAATTATTCTCTATGATAGAGAAGTATCTATTATTTTACCAAATTATTATTTTAAGTATATCTTGACAATTGAGAAAGAATCAACTGGCTACTGCTGTGAATTATTAATATAATATTGACCTGCTACTTAAACAATGCCCACATTCGGGGAATGATGGTTTAGTGTTAATACCGGTGTTCCACAGAGAGCGGCATGAAAAAAGTCTGCCTTCCTGCCCCAAAACAAGGGCGGCTTTATTTCTGACATGGATATGTGAGGCTATGATTGTTTTGTTGTTGCTTTTAATTCTTCCTAAAAAGTTAATTGATATTAGTACTTCCACTTTAGGTAAGTGTGCTCCAAGAATGAGAACAGAGCTGTCACTATATTTTCACAGAGTTGACAGGAAAAAATATATGCTGTCTAGTTCACTTGTGGTTATCTTTAAACCTGGGAAAGAAAAAAGACTGGGGTCGGGGAATCTGTTTGAATCCTTTGAAACCCTATCCAGTTAAGGACTGAGACTTGGACTGAGACTTGTATGTTCCTTGGACCAAGTTATTTGGCAAATATAACTAACTCACTTATAGCCAATGCATATATATGTATGTGCATACATACATATATATACACATTTTATCTGTGTGCTTCCATGTTTGTCTTTCAAAATAAGATGATTTTTGTGTAGATATGCAAGATATTGTTATATACACATAATACTGATATATGCATAAACAACAGTACTTTAAAGCTTAAGTCCTCACCAAAATTACATTATTTGATCTTCTCAACATCCACGTGAAGGATGTATTTTTAAAATCTCCATTTTATAGATGAGAAAAAGGCTTAGTGTGATAACAGTAGATAACTTCCCAACACCACAATTGTTCTAAGGAAGGGATGGAACTTGAACTAAGGTCTTATGACTCCAAAGATCATGATTTAAAAAAAAATTACTAATACGCCTATGATACAGGTATGGCTTTGAAAGAAAAACATGGATTCACAACTGAACAAGACATACCTTTTCAGCTGATATAAATCTGACATATGTTTTAGATAATTTCAAATTTGCAGAAAATCTATAAATCATTTTTAAGATTTAAGCTTAAGTAAAATAAAAGCGAAAAAGAAAACCACTTCTATAATGATCTACTTTAATTATTATGTAATTAAAGCAAAAATCATAGTATACATAAAGATAGAGAAGCACAATTAAATAATATCCCTATGTGTTGGGAAAAGACCACTGCAAAGGACACAAGGATTATACTTTGTGCATATGAACTGAATTATACTGTGGTTTCTATGGAACTTAACTTGGTCTGACTCAAAGGCAAATGAATGAGGATCACACATGTTCAGCAATCTATAAACTCTCAACAACAACACAACTGAAGAGGAATTCTAATATTTATAAGCATATGCTCAGGAAGTCACAACTTCACGATTTTTTTTTTTTTTACTTTAAGGTGTCCCTGAAAAACCACTGAATTCTTAACATGGTCTCCTGCCCTAGAGGATGACAGCACTCTGGTTAAAACAACCAGATTTGAGCCCCGATTGAAATTAGTCGAAGGTTTTAATAGAGGAAGGCCAAAATTAATACTTCAGTATACTTAATTACTTGCCATCCTAATGTTTTTATAGACTTAATAGTTTTAAACAGTTGCTTTTATTTGCAATGAACATGATTCCAGAGCAGAAATAAAAATAAAAACAAATGAAAACCACCAGTGCACATTTCTAAGCTTTTAATTAAAGCTCAAGAATAAACTCTTTACCTTCTGGTCTCTAGCACAGAAATATATGGCAACATTGTTTTTTCTTTTTAAATGATGTAATACATGATTTCATTAGAAAAACCAGCATAAGGAAAATGGCTTTCAAAAAAGAGCTGAGCATTTTACATATGGAAGAAGAGCACAAACAATAAATAGAGAATCAACCTGCTTATTAAGTGCAATAGAGCCGAGCTCTACTGATAACAATAAATTTAGAGCGTGACTGGGCAAGATTGTACTCAAATATAATAATCCTAACATCTAAATGTGCATCTCTTTCATTCTACTCATCAAAGACAAATACCTACGTCCTTTTTCCAATGAAATTATAGAGAAGTAATTGATAATTGGCTCACAAGGGCCTTGGGGATCACTGACCTTAATATCTTTACTCTCTAGAAGATGCTTTAGGTTTTACTTACTTGTTATCCTAAGTCTGGTCTCCAAGCTGAACTACAATAAATACTGATAATAGGTAAGAAATGTCTTTCCTTTGACAGATCTTGAAAAAAGATGGAACAATACTTGCAAATACTCGTTTCCCAACACACTTTTAAGATAAAGAATCACTGGCACCACGACAATGCCATCACCACCACCACACTGCAAAAGCAGACACTAGAGAAGAGAAATTCGGAAGGGACTTCTCTCCCTCAGGAATTTTTCTGTATGGCAATCAAATAGCAAGGAAGCATCAAGGACAAATAATGAACACAGTATATTTGAATTTAATTTTGTCATCAGCACACATACTCATCGGCCTATGTTTGAAATACAAGAGGCATGGAAAGAAGCTTTGTTACCCAACTGATGTATGATGTATCATCTTCATTATTCGTGGCATTCTGCTGCTTCGCACATTCTGCCCAGACTCCTTGAGAAAGATCAAGCCCAGAGACTCATCCCCATTTTCTACACCCCAGTTTATGTGCTTAGAATGTAGTACAGCATTCCAAGTGGCTACAGTACAACAGAATGCATGTCAAATCTTACAAAACCACAGTTGTTTTAAGAGCCATAAAAATAGCTCTGGTCATTCAACTAAGGAACAGATGAATTCATTAGATTCAGAAAGTATTTGGCCACAAATCCACATGGGCCCTGAGGTCACTTTACAGACAAATTTAAAGGGACATCTTATGGTTGAGTCTAAGGACAGAGTAAATCATAATGTAGCCATTGTTACCTCCATTTTCATAATAGTAACTATCTCCATAAGCACTGGATCCAGAAGACTCTGGAAAGTGTTTCTTCCGTTTTTTCTCTTCCTGTAACTCCTTTTCTTGCAAAAGGCGAGCTATGTCCTGCAAGTACAGAGAGAAGGCTAATCAATATTACCAGAAAATGAACAAACCTTTTACAATGGAACAGATTCCATTCAGTAGCCCTACAAGTCAGTGGTTTGATATTCCACTGCCAAGCTTTTGTGGGCTCTGTCCATTGCTTTCCAGACTTCCTGGCATTAAGCTCATGCTATTCAAATGCCATACATAACTGCTCAACAGGAGTGGCACATGATCCAGATGAACAAGAAAGGCTTTTTTTTTTTTAATTGAAATTTAAATTTAATTCAATCTGGAGACCTACAAACCTAGTATTCCTAACGCTGGTTATACAATAGAATTTCTAAAATACTTATTTGTGGGCCCTTTTTCCAAGCTGATGATTCAGTAAGTCTGGATGGAAAAGAGTGTAGTAATCTATGAAACTTTATAAATTGTGTGTATAATTTAATTTTAAAACTTTATAAAAGAATTCTTCAGCTGATCCTTGATTTAGCTTTGCATTAGAGTACCACTGTCTTAACTGAAAAAGAGAAAACAGTATTCTTTCTGTCTCCCCCTTGCTTCATCTCCAGGCAAGTTTTTAGCAGTTACTGAGTGATGAATAACATTCTGATCCTGCCCCCCAAAAGATTACCATCATTGTATGAAAACAAAGGTATGTGCAAGTAACTATAATACCATTAAATCATAAATGCCTCAATAAGAGGGTAAAAATGTCAATGTGAGTATAAAAGAGGCAAGTCTTATTTCTGCTTAATAGTGCAAGTCTTTGCATTTGCGTTAGGTTTTGAACTGGATTCCAATAGGCAAAGTAAGGAGGGAGAACAACCTCAGAAAAAATATGAATGTTTTAATGGGCAACAACCAACAGTCCATTAGAACACAGGAGCTGGGGTGTTACAGAGAAAAGTGAGGCTAGAAAAACAGTCTGAGACTGGATCACATGCACTCCTTACACATAATCTCAACAAGTCTGGAGTCCACAGTGTAAGGGATCAAAGGTTACTAAAGGTTTGAGCTAGAGAGTGGCAGTGTTCTGACTCTGAAGCTTACTTCTATGAAAGAACCACAAAGCAGCACATAAACTTTGTTCCATGTACACTTTTTTGGAAAGACAGTCCCTAGGTGTCACCAGATTCTTAAAGACCAAACAAATATGCAACAGCACTCCCTGGTGAAAAATAACAATCATAGGTAGTTTGAGGTGCTTACTTTATATTTACAATAAGGAATACAAGAAGTACTTAGATGTTGATATAAATTTTGAAGCAAGAATTCATTACTACTCTCCCTTTTGCAATTTTCCAAATAAGTCAAAATGAAGAATATACTAAGGCTGGAAGGCAAACTTCAAAAAAAATTCATCTGAATGAATCAATTACTTTCATGTCAGTGTAGAAACATGATGGATGCCGCAGCTAGGTAAATCTAAATTCAAACTTACGAATATACTATTGATATAATGTCTTTAACTGATTTCTATGCTGGAAGCTTCTCATAAATTTTTGTGAAAGATATACATACCTTTCTACCAATCAACTACTCAATCATCTCTCTATATATGGACATGTATATACACACACATACATGCATATCTATAGATATATGTACATATCTATATCTACATATTATACACACACACATCTATTTATACACATACGTTACCAATCAATCTTAAAGTAAAACGTCTTGATTCCCTAATGCATCATTTTAATAAACCTATTACCAGGTATAGCCCCTGTGCCAGGTTCATCATATTTGATGTCTTATAAAGTAATACATCAATCAGTTCAAGAGACAGATAACTTGTTCTCCCAAAGCTAGTATTATTATAGAAGAGTTTCTCAAATCCCTATACCTCTTATTGCAAAATAGGAAGAAAATGCAAAATTTCCCTGAGTTGTCATCATGTTTACTAAGAACCTAACACTACAAATGGTTTGCTTTACAGGAAACAAGAAATTTCCCTTGCCGTAATGGAGTAAAAATATAAAGGAAAATTACTAGGTCCAACTGCCAGCAGAAATTATTAAATTAAACTATGCTTTAGAGACCTTATACTTGCTTTTCTGCTACTGAATTTTGTCCTAATGAATACATAGTAATAAGCCGTGTTCTCTGTGTGAAGAACCAGGAAAGAAACAAGGATGATGCTGCTTCTTGACCGTGCATTAGCTAGTCAAAGAAAGTGCTTTTCATCAAGGAAAATAACAGTTATGCACCTTAGCACCCAAACCTCTTGCTCTTTTAAGCTCTCAGCTCTTTTCTGGGTGAGAGGATAGGCTGCCAAGGCCTATGAGGGAAAGGATCAGGGCCTCACTGACAAGGGACTGCAGTGTTAAGAGCTGAGGCGTGGCCCAAGTGCATGCCCCTCCCCCCTCTCCAGCATTACTATGCACTGCCTTCAGGGAGGTGATGTCAGGAGAAAGAACGTCCCCTGAAACAAACTGAAGATGGCAATTAGTCACGATGCTATGTGCAGCTTAGTCACCCGTGACATAAACGACCTCCCTGGTCCTCCTCAGCTTCCTTCCTGTTAAAGGTTAGTCTACAACAGCATTTCCAAAGCTTTGTTCTTGAGAACCCCAGTCTCTAAAGGTTCTCCAAAAAACACAAGGCACTCAGTGGAAAGCATGTATTACATCCAACTCTTTAAAATGCACATTAGCCTACTTTAAAACTTTGGTAAAAGAAACCTGTTATCTTCCTATAACCTAAATATACTCAAATTTATTTTGAGAAAGCAGCTTTTTACATAAAAAGTATAAACCTTATGGAATTACTGTTTCACAAAACATAACTTGAGAAAACAAACCTAAAAGAACTCATAAGCCCTTCTGAAGTCATTTTCAATTATTTTTTAATTAATTATATTAATCAGGTAGGCTTACTTTGGGCTCATGTGTAAAAAAACAAAAAACAAAAAACACAAAAAAACTCTGTAATTAGAAGACTTTCTGGTAAATAGATTTATTGGAATGAAAATTCACCACTGTATCCAAATCTTGAAAATGTGAAACTGTGAGCATTAAGACAGAACACAGTTAAGGATCTCTAGATGCTAGAAAAAAAGTCATTTTAATAAAAACATAGTTTTACTGATTGCCTTCAATAGGCCAAACATTCTCCTACAGACCTATAGAGAAACAGGATATATGGCCAATATTCGCAAAGTTCTTACCTATTAAGTTTTAGAAGCAAAATGATTAGTGTAATTTAAGACAAGCAAAGGTGAGTGCTCTAAGAGAGGCATTATCACAAACAAGGTGCAGCAGAACCCAGAGGAGCCTAAAACATCTTTCCCAAGTAGATGGCAAATTAGGAAACCATTGGGGCTCAGTGGATTGAGTGTCCAACTCTTGATTTCGGCTCAGGTCATGATCTCGGGGTCCTGGGATTGAGCCCCACACCAGGTTCCACACTCAGTGGGAAGTCGGCTTGGGGTTCTCTCTCCCTCCCTTCTGCCCCTCCCCCCTGCTCATTCTCTCGCTCTCTCTCAAATAAATAAAATTTTTAAAAAATTACTAAACTATTATATTGGATTCCTTAGGCTATTTTTTGGTTTATATAATTTTATATCAGGGTTACTTTTCCCTGAAAGTTTCCACTTCTATTCCTCAATGGTAGTGGGTTTCAAAATGAGGAAATCTTTGGCATAAAAACAAACAAACAAGGAAATCTAAAAATGTGATTGTCAAGTGACTATTGGAAAGAAAAAAAAAAAGAAAGCCACTCCATTAGACTGCTACATTTCTTCATCAACTAGCAATTAATATCTAATTCAGTAGGGAACTCATAACAGGTATAATCTTCAGAGAGTATAAGACCAGAAAACAACATACCAATTCTATGGATGTAAAAACATCCTTATGACCAAGATAAGAAGAGAGAAGAATTTTCTCAACCAAAAACCTTCTACTCATTCCCTCTTTCTGGCCATATATGTATAATCTTATTTTTAAAGTGCCAAAACAAAGGGCATCTTTTTTTTTAGTAGCTAAAATGTACTGTTATTTGAGCTACGCTCTAAATATTACCAACTTACATAAATATTCTTTTAGAACATGAGATTCTAATCACTTTAAGAATGTTATGAAAAAGTACCATGGTTCACACTAGATTAATTTTTAATGTAAACTGGTTACTAAGTCTATCCCTGAACAGTTCATATTATAAGTGGCTTCAAACTGTTGGACTAGTGCCACAGATTTTTCATAGCATGGTCATGCTAATGTCTACTTAAGCAAAAAAAAAAAAAAAAAAAAGTTTTGCCCTAAAATAGTTGCACATTCACATATATTTGGATCTAGGTTCAAAAGACACGTATGTGTATCTATAGATATTCACACACACATACAGAAACACACACAACATATGCTTAAGCGTTTTATTTAAAAATAACTTCATCAACTAAACACACATTCCTTAGCTTTACAAAACAATGACAAATGCTTATGCTATAAACCCAAGAGAATAATCCCAATGGGATTAGCCCACTTTTCTTAGTTACAAACTCATACAGTCCAGTATTCTCAAAGGCTATAACCCTGCTTCAACAGGGGCCTAGAGAGCAATGCAACTACTCTAGTCACACTACGTAAAGAAGTTTAAAAAAAATAAGAAAAAAGGAAGAAAGAGGGAAAGGAAGGAGGGAGGGAGGAAGGGAGGAAGGATGGGAGAAAAAAGAAAAGAGAGAAGGGGGAAAGTAGGAGAGAAGCAGGAGAGGGGAGGCTACAATCTGGTAAGAATATTGAAGACCTTTCTTTCTTTCTTCCCTTCCTTTCTTTCCTTTTTTTTTTTTTTTTTAAAAAAAACTTTTCTACATCTGTCTCCCTGCATGGAAATGCTACTTTCATCTATGCTCTGTTAAAAAGCACAATAAAATTATAGCATAACAAAGCCAGAAATGGTAATTCACCCACACAGAGTTGTATAACTTCTCATGTACAATGTTGTTCAAGAAAAACACTCTGCCCCAAGAGAAAAGAGGCCTTGGATTCTACATCTGGTTGTTTGGGGGGTTATAAACTACTGAAGAGAGTAGACCCCAAAAATCTCTGAAAATGAGATGTGGGTGGTCAGAGAGGAATTTTCCATAGCCCTGCTGTTCAGTAAGAACTTACTAGCTAAGCAGACTCCACAAGGAAATAGAAGAGCATAGACAGAGAAAAAATTTAAAAAAGAATTAGGACAGTTCATGAGTAACAGGCAATGTTTTTTTAAGAGTTGGCCAGAAAAACTTCCACTATTATCTCATCTCAGTCTCAGTCTCCTCTGCGAGGCACAGGGACTAAAATAAACAAATAGGCATCATACATCCTTCAATGAGAAGCTTTACTACTCAAATTTTGTTCATTTAATATTAATAACATACCAGTCAGCTGAGAGTCCTATCTTTTGCTAAGAGAATATCTCGGCATGGTAGGCATCTTCTAATCTAAGGCATCAGATGGAAAATCAAAGAGTCTGAATGGAGTTTATAAGGCTAGTCTCACAAAATCTTCCCCAACTGGATTTCTCCTTTAATCTCTCCACTGCACTGGGGAATGGGGCCATCAGAGCAGGTCAAACAGTACTGGAAGGCAGGCTAGCTGGGAGGCCAGCGAAGGCAAGGAAATGCTTGAGGATTGCTCAGATCACACCAGACTGGAATACACTTAAGCCTGTTTATTTTCCCCCTTTCTAATTTAGCACACATCTCTTTCTATAAGAGAAATCAGAGCTGTTATAAAAGGCCGAATGGTGTGGAAACGACTGGCAAGAAAGTAAAAAAGGAAGAGAAATTATTAACTTAATATGTCCCAGAGGCCTTACATACATGATCTCACTTACACCTCACAACAGCCCTCCAGGATATGTACAATTATCATGGCTTTTCCAATTTGGAACCTGAGGTTCTACATGGTTAAGTGAGATTCTGAAAGTCACAGCTAAAAGTTAAAGAGCTAAGATTCAAATCCAGAGCGTTCTAACTCCAAAGTTTACATGTTTTCTGTTGTGTCATACATAGGACATCTGTGTCAGAAGCGGTCAGGCAGGGGACCTGAACTGTACAGACATTTCTCTGGCATCTTATTATAGCTGGGGACTAGTCACTGATTCTTCAAGTCTTAATTTCTTCATCTGAAAAAGAGTTAATCACTAAACTGCTTACTTTATCTGGTATTACCAGGAGATTATTTATTGTGATTGCTGTTTAGATTCTACATGCCTAAATAAAGTGTTTTGGTTTCTCTTTCTTTCCTATTTTTCCTGAATGGGGGAAAAAAAAAATCACAGGACACCAGTAGCATTTATAAGAAGCCAACTTCATTACTCTTGTTATTTTTAAAATAGAAGCTTTCCTGTTTAGAAAATATAATCACTTCTTTCAGTTCCCAGTTTCATCCCCAAAGCAAAGCCTTACAGAGAGGCAACACATCCTGTAGTAAAAAGAGTTCCTGTGTTGATAACAGGAAGGCTAAAAAGCAATCCCTAATTCTTACTTGCAGTTCTGATTATCACAAAATCATGGTTTGTTTCTTAAAGAAACAGCTAAATACACACATACCAGGCGTCTCATGCTCACCTGGCATAGAACAAGGAGTCTTACAGGAACAAGGATGGCTCTGTGGGAGCAGCAATATATCCAGGCTAGTTTACGGATGGCCCTCATCCCACCTATTTAATAGGGTGACCACGTGTGCTGGTACCCAGGACAGGCCCAGTTTATGTAATTATTAATACTACCCCGTTTAACCCAGAAAAGTATTTGAGTACACATACAATAAATCATATGGTCATTCTATTATTAAAATTATAAATCATTTTCTTCCTAAATATAACCTTAATCTGTGGCCAAGAACAGCAAGGCAGACACAGAATTAATACAAACTGAAAAAGAACTGTTTGTAAGAAATGCTAAAAGTCCAACACAAAGGCAAGTAATATTTAACTGCAAATTCAAGTCCTCTTACCAACAAAACTCTGTTGCTACTTTTAGTCATTTTCAGCTTTAAAAACAGTACAATTTAAAAATATCTACAGAATCAAACAGATGAGTTAGTTCTTTGAGGCAGCGCTCATAGGAGAGTGAAGCCACGAACAACGAAGAGTGGGAGCAACGGTGGCTCCTGGCTTCTCACAGTGACACCCCCTGACTCTTGTTCAGCCTACACTCACGTATGCTCTCTCTTAAGACTGTAGGAATAACCCACAGACATACAGCCTGTATTGGGTTGAATAGTGTCCCCTAAGAATTCATTTTTACCAAGAACCTCAGAATAGGACCTTATTCGGAAATAGGGTCTTCACAGATGTAATCAGTTAAGAGAAAGTCATACTAGACTAGGGCCAGTCTTCAATCCAATGACTGGTTCCCTTATAAGAAAAGAAGAGGAAGCAAAGATACAAGAAGAAGGCCATGTGACAACAGAGGCAGAGGCTGAAGGGATGCAGTGACACGTCAAGGAATGCCAATGACTGTCAGGAGCCACCAGAAGGCAGGAAGAGGCAAAGAAGCATCTTTCCCAGAAGGTAGCAGGGTCCCACCAAAACCCTGATTTCAGATTTCTGGCCTCCAGAACTGTGAGAGAATATATTCCTGCTGTCTTAAGCCATCAAGTTTCCGGTGATTTGTTAAAAGCAGTCCTAGGAAACTAATTCACACCTTATGTTGAATTACCGTCATTTTTTAAGATTTCACTTAGGTTATCAAGGGGCAATAAAAGGTGGTCCAGGGAAGGCAACACTTGGACTATGCACCCCCAAAGACAAGAGCTCTGCTGCCCTTCCGGGAGCCCTACCCTGAGCCCGTGAATACTGACAGCAGCCACTCCTCTGCGCTGGGGTGGAGGGGCCTTATCTGAGCTGTACCTCATCCTTCTTCTCCTGAATGCGTCGTCTCTCCGCCTCAATAGCCAGCTTCTCCTGGATTTCCTGAGCAATTTCACAGTCTTGTTGTTCACTAAAAAACAAAAGCGAAAACAGTATGAATAAAGAAAACAAGGAATGATTTTTCTATAAATATAACACAATTTACTGGATACTCACTATAAGCCCATGCACATTTTTTATCTCACTTAATCCTCACAAGAGTGATGCAGAGGTTGATATTCTCACACCTTACAGATAAAAAATCTGGGGCCCAGAGTAGTGAAACCATTTCCCTAAGATCACAGAGAAAATACGTGGCAGAACCAGAATCCAATCCCCAGGCACTGCAGTGGGAAGTCCCATGCTTATTCTACCCTCCTGAATCACCTCGCCATACCGGGGCCACTCTACAGACAGCCATGTTTTCTCAAGAATATGCAAAGGAGACATCGACTATGAGATTAATGTCCACAAATATCAAAATATAGATATGGAGTACACAGAAAAAAATTGGGAGAGAGCTCACTAAATGTCACTGTGGTCACTTAGAGGTGCTGGTATGACTTTAAAATGTTTTCTATAAATTTTTAAATTAGATGTATTTTTCAGTTTCACTAATACTTAAATTCCTCCCCAGCTTCAGTTCCCAACAGACACCTCTCTGGCTGATGCCAGTTTTCTTAATACTCAGGCCCCTAAGAAAATCAAATGTAATACTGTGGCCAGCACAGTTTGTTTTGTTTGGGCATTCATGCATTCAACAAAGATTTAAATAACACCTGCACTATGCTCAACACTGAGGATACAAACATGAGGAAATCTTCACTCTGCACTCAGAGGCTCACAATACTTTTTGGTGGAAGAAACAAGAGAATGATTTGGGTGGAAGGAACAGATCCTTAAAACAGCACCTCCAGAACAGCAGTTCAAACACAAAATAGGCCTTGGATCTCTCAGAGGTAGCTACAAGTGCGCATGTCTTTTGGCTTCAGGTTTCAAGAAATGTCAACAGACAGTCCAAAACTCCCAAATGCGATAGCTCTGGAGACCAACCTTTACACAAAATTGTTAGCTAGGAATGAAGAGCAGAAACATGCATAGAGTTTACTATTTAAAAAGATGATGGAATAAAATTACATTTGTGACTTATGGATGCAGTCTGTTTCCTAAACAAATATATCCTCTCACTGTCCCCCTGCCAAGTGAACTTAAAATATTCAGTAGGGGTGCCTCAGTGGCTCAGTCAGTTAAGTGTCCGACTCTTGATCTCAACTCGGGTCTTGATCTCAAGGTCCTGAGTTCAAGCCCTGCATTGGGCACCATGCTGGGTGTGGAGTCTACTTAAAAAAAAAAAAAAAATACTCAGTGAATCTCAGTCTTGGTGGTATATTCCATGTTTAACAAACAGCATTTTGTAATTCAAAAGTGTTGTAGGGGGCAATAATCCTAACTGCAATTAAGGAATTAAAACCCATATACTCTATTCTGACAAAACTGAAAGGATAAAAATTATTCTAATTATTCTATATGGAAATGGGTCACTTTCAACATGCTTGGAAACAGGTGTAGGTGGAAGATGTGTGTATACACGTAGGTGTGTACACATGTGTTACGCACACACAAGACAGAAAGGAAGGCAGAGAAGGTAAGACAGCACAAGTAAGGGACAGCAAGACCCTCCGAATCAGTAGGAAAACCACTGGAGAAGGTTGTTGCAGACTGGATTTCTGGTCCCGTCACTGACAGCCAGAAGGCCGTGCCCTCTCGTGGGCAATTTACCAGCTCTAGAAGTTATTTGGGCTTAACGACTTCATCTTATAGGTCTAATATTTTAGGATTCTTAACCACTCAAACCAAAGAACTGAAAATTTACTCAGAATAATTTTTATTTATATATCCTCTTTTCATTTACTCACTTGTAACAATTAAGACTCATACAAAATCATGGTCTTCGTTTTCAAAGACTTCTCTACTCGGATCTCCCAAATTCATGTAAAATCTGTACAGGAGTTAGCAACTATTAATTATATGCAGATGATAACAGATGGGAAGAAAGCAGAAGCTCAGCAGAGAGGACAAGTCCAAATCAAATGTTAAAGGTCAAAAGTGACATAGATGTACTTCCTAGTATAAACAACAGCCAAAATATGGAAAGAGCCCAGATGTCCATGGACAGATGAATGGATAAAGAAGATGTGGTGTGTGTACACACACACACACACACACACACGAATACTACTCAGCCATCAAAAAGAACGAAATCTTGCCATTTGCAATGACTTGTATGGAACTAGATGGTACTATGCTAAGCAAAATAAGTCAGTCAGAGAAAGACAAACATCACAAGATTTCACCTATATGTGGAATTTAAGAAACAAAACAGATGAACATAAGGAAAGGGGAAAAAAAAATAAGATGAAAATAGAAAGAGAAATGGGAGAAGATATTCGCAAATGACATATCAGATAAAAGGCTAGTATCCAAAATCTATAAAGAACTTATCAAACTCAACACCCAAAGAACAAATAATCCAACCAAGAAATGGACAGAAGACATGAACAGACATTTTTCCAAAGAAGACAT